TGTACCTAACGTGTGTGTGTGTGTGTGTGTGTGTGTGTGTGTGTGTGTGTTTTGTCTTTTAGGTGGTAAAACAGGTGAAACTCTTTGAATGGCCTGTTGGAGCCAGCAGTCTGGACCTGTGAGGGCCAGCACCTGCAGAAGACACACCATCCTTCATGCTGCTGCACAGAGATGGAGGTTTGAAATAGTTGTTGGAGATTTGTGAATCTGCACCATCGTAAGTCACTTCTTGTAATAGTATAAACGAGAGAGTTTTATATTGTGTGCTTTGACTTTGAAAAAAGGGCGGTACTCTTGTAGTAGCCATGTTTACCCTGATAGTTTTTTGTTTTGTTTTTCCTCCCCTGTATGGAGAGAAAGAGAGGAGAGTTCTTTGAATAAATGGAGATGAGTTCCCGTGCTCCAAAGTTATTTAAGTCTGTGGTTCTCTCAGTGTGCAAGTTTCCAGCCCTCATAGCTCACATGTTACAGTGAGTACTAATTGAAGGAGGTAAAAAAAATTATCCTTTTTATTCGAGCATCACTTTTATGTTTCTCTATCAGGAGTTAAGTAAGGATTTTATCTTTTCTTTTTTTGTAGGTAGATATATGGTTAAGTAGATAGTTTTGTTTGACAGTACTTTAAATTAAATAAAACTAGCAACACATTACGTTCTGTTTTATTTACTTTAAAGAAGTGAGGAGTAGGGAGACGAAAAATTATGTTTTTTGATACTAAGACTGGTCGAGTAGCTCTCGGCGAACTGCCGACTTCAAAAGTAGCTCTTGGTTCAAAAAAGGTTGGGCACCCCCTGCCTTAAATAATGCAACAGTAAGAGAGAACAGGTCTTAAGAAAGGAGATTATCTCCTGGGGAAGAATGAAACGGTGGATCAAAAGAATTTTTAATTGCTTTTTTCCCCCTTTCAAAAGGGAACAAGTACTGGTTCAACATTTTCTTTCTTTCATGTATGATGTAAAAATGACTGTGAATAAAAATTTAGATGATGGTACCACAGAAAAGGGAAATCCTTGTTTGCGAGATTCTCTAAACCAGAGATTCTTATCCTATAGGCCGCGGCCTAATTGTGGGCCGTGAGCGCCACCTTGAGGGCCTCAAAAGAACAACAGTTTTTAACTTTGGACTGCAGAGGGCCGTGGGACTTCACTGATTTTGAATATGGTGCAATACACTTTCTCACCATTAGTAGTGGTAGTGTGCCACTCAGA